TTTGTCACTCTTTGTGACCTGCTATTTCTGGGGTGCCTTGATAGTCGAAGCAGACTTTGTGCTGTTGAAGCTAGAGAAAAGAGCAGAGTAAACCCGATTCCTCGTTTGGACTTCTCTGTTGACCTCCACCTCTTGACGTTCACATGACTTCATGCAGTTGTGAGCGCCATAAATCCTTACTAAATCTCTTTTTTTTTAAACCAAAAAACACGCACATCATCCTGGAAAAGGAACAACTTTCTCAGTGGTAAATTCCTCCAGCTATTAGGTGACTCGTGTTGTCAGTTCAGAGACAAGAATGATGTCAAGCAAAGTCGTTGACACGATGGGTGGCCACTGAGTTTTGTTCTCTGGAACAAGACAAGTTGTAATCTCTCTGTCTTTTTATGTTTACACAGTACTTGTCATTATAACTCGGAAATTCCCTAGAATGATAGAAGTGGTGGACCTTTTCTTCTTCTTCTCTTGTTATCCTTTATTTTGTTTGATTTGTTTTGTTGTTTATTTTTTATTTGTTTGGGGTGGGGGTGTTGGGTTGTTTGTTTTTTGTTTTTGTTTTTGTCTGTTGCGGTGAGTAAGACGACTTGATTGACACTTCCTTTGTCCCATTCACCACAAGGAGCCAGGTCCAAGTTCATCCAAGAAATCTTCAAAGACATCGTCCAGGAGAGGGTCAGCGGAACCGGTGGACAATGACCTGGTAAGACAAAGCTTCATGATAAACGACGATTGTTTTTTTAACATTGCATGGTTGTGAATTCAATTTACTTTGCTTCTTGGATATTTTGGAGACATTTGAATACACTTCATGTTTCAGTGATGCCACTCATGTGAATGTAACACCCTACCACTGAGAGAAACACACATCCTCGTGGGAAAAGAGCAACTTTCTCGGTGGTAATTCACTCATGATGTCAAGGGACTTGTGTCGTGAACTCTGAATCTCCAATGATGTCAAACAGATTTGGGAAAGGGGGGGGATGTGAAGGGTGGGCACTGCGTTTTGGTCTTTAGCAAGACAAAATGTAATCTCTAAATTTATTTATATTTGCATTGTATTTGTTATTGTAATTCGAAAATTCCCAACAAAGATAGAAAAGGTGGGCCTTTACTTTTCTTCTTCTTTTGGGGTTTCTTTTGTTTTTGTTGCTTTTTGTTTTTGTTTTTGTTTTTTTAAAGAAATTTCTCAACAAATATAAAACTGTATTGCAGTGTGTATAACGACTTGATTGACGTTTAGTTTCTCTCATTCACCACAAGGAGCCAGGTCCTAGTTTATCCAGGAAATCTTCAAAGACAGCGTCCAGGAGAGGGTCAACTGAACCAGTGGACAATGTACAGGTAGGACAAACTTTATGGATAAATTTATGTCTGCCTGAAGAAAGGTGCCAAAATTCGCCACAGAACATTTTGAGCTACATGCTGATAATGACAAAAAATAACTTTTTTGACCAAAATGTGTTTGCATTTTTTTAAAATGATAGTTCCACCCTTTTTTACAATC